GGCTAATTTTTTGTATTTTTAGTAGAGATGACGTTTCACCATGTTAGCCAGGATGGTCTCAATCTCCTGACCTCGTGATCCACCTGCCTCAGCCTCCCAAAGTGCTGGGATTACAGGTGTGAGCCACCGTGCCTGGCCTCACCTCCTTTTAAGAGAGGGATTATAATAAATTGGTCACTGAACATCCTAGACAAGAATATCAAATCAAGATTCAGAACAAAACAAAGGACTAGAACTGACAATTAGCAGCAGAACAAAACTGCTTACAAATATACTCACGATGGGTATAGTAGAAAGGAAAATTAACAAGGGTGATCTTGAGAAGCTGGATTTCGATCATTAAATTATCACCAAAAATGGAAAACCATCTTCTACCTTTCAAATGAGAATTTCTGGATAACAAGTTTATGAGTTAAGGGAAAACCTTGCTAAGCTCCAGCTCTTTATTACTCAGATTCACCATCTGTAGGTGAGGCTCCAACCCCAGAAACTTGTTACTACATAAAGAAACTCATAATATACATCTTATGTAATATGACTTTAATTTCCAAGTGCCAAATTCTCTGAGCTGAACAGAATGATATTCTAGAGAAGGGGTGCAACACAGCACACTGGCTCAAAGCACAGGCTCTAAAGGCTCCGCATTTAATGACCCTATGGTTTGAGAGAAGGTACTTCACAGCCCTGCACCTCAGTTTCCTCATCTATAAAATAGGAATCATAAGTCTTTACCTCATGGGGTTGCTGGGAGAATTAAATGAGATATTATGTGAAAAGTGCTTAGAACAACACCTGGTGCATAAGAAGAGGGCACAATAATTCATCAAAATAATGCAGACATGACAAGTTACCTCTTCTCCTCCTTCGTCTACTAGCGTCCAGGTCCCAGACCCAGGCCCTGAGGAGGATGGCTTCCGCTCGCTGGGCTTCATGTGGCACATAAACTCAGCTCGATTTCTAAAGGACAAGAATAATCACTCCCATCACTTAGATGAAGGCCCATGTGAGTGCCTTCTGGATTATCTACTCACCCTGAAGAAGAGCCACACATCAACCCAATCTTCAAATGGTTTAAATTAGTGAATAAGAACTGGCCAAAAACCAAGGCTACTAAAACTGCACTAATTTTGGTGGCAAATGCAACCATTCTGAATTAGTAATGATGAGTAATTGCAGAAAGCAGCTATACTAGCACAGCTCCCTGCATGACGCAGGACCTCAATACATATGCTACAGACCTTAACTCAAACCAGGCTCACAGAGTCTTGCCAGGGAAACTATTTTACCAACTATGACTTACTGAATAAAAAAGAATAATGGAGGCTGGGCACGGCGGCTCGCGCCTGTAATCACAGCACTTTGGGAGGCTAAGATGGGTGGATCATGAGGTCAAGAGATCGAGACCATCCTGACCAACATGGTGAAAACCCGTCTCTACTAAAACTACAAAAATTAGCTGGGTGTGGTGGCGCATGCCTGTAGTCC